TTCTCTGGTACAGTTTGAATGTTCTATTTTAAGGGTCTTGACAGTCTTGAAAGTCTTGCAGAGTAGAAGACTACAGAAGGAGTAGATTTCCAGAGAAGAAATGAGGTTGTTGGGTAGAGACCATTTTGTCTGTGCCGTGGTTGTCTCATCCTCCCTGCTGCTTACGTCGTGTTTAAAGTCTGACACCTGTAGATCTTCCCTGCGGGCTTACATTGACACATGGTACCTATCACTGAGTTGTAAGCAGAAGCATACCTGTGTTTAAATCTCAGCTCTGCCATGTATTAGTTGTGTGTTGTTGGACAGTTTTCTCTACCTACGAGTCTTGGCCCTATGCTCCATAAAACGTTGAAATACAATGCTAGCATCTTGCATTTTATTCATAATAACGAAGAAGTTGTTCTCACTGTTTGGTAAATTAAGTCAACTCTCTTGGTTCTCTCTTTAGGGTCTAGAATTCAGGTGACAGGAAACAAGTGGCCCTTTGCAAATCAAACTGAATATTCACAAGTAACACTTATTAACTATGAAATCAAACCTAAATGAAACTTCAAAAGAAATTGGGTAGAAAAGTTGTAAAAGCTGTATGCTTCACCTTACAGTCTACATCTTGAGCATAAGGGCAGATTCTTCATTTAATTACTTCACAAACAATTCCTGAATACCTGTTATGATTCCCAAGTATGAAGATCATTCACAGAGAAGCAGCATCAGGGAGTCCTCTGTTGGATGGCAGATACTTAACCTAGAAGGAAACACATCAGCGTCAAGACTGCATATACGAAAAGTGCTACTCCTAACATTAGGCTGGTATTGCGGCAGAGAGTAACAGCATGGGTGCTTGCTTTAGAGAGGAAGGTGGGGAAAGCTGTTGGGACAAGATGATGTTTGAAACCAGAAGGATGATATGGAGCCAGTCTTGTGAACAGACAGGAGGAAAATCAAGGTACTGGTACACAGACATCCTAGGGCAGGAAGATTTCACATATCTCTCCCCTAACCTGGCTAGAGAGTTCCCTTTCTGTTCCTCTGGCTACTGCCTTTCTGGCGCCTAACCTTGCTGCATGAAGAAGGCTCCAGATCAGGACCCTGGAGAGTTAGGTCCCGTGGATATAGCAGCCTTTCCTAGTCTGCTTCTTACTTGCTGTGACTTAGCCATTCAATGAGCAGTGACCTTGACATTTACATCATTCTGATTTCTTTACCTGCTTTTATTTATTTATCTTGTATTTGGCCTCAGATTCTCAACAAATAGCTGCTGACACCAAGTAGGTGTTCAAAAATAATCTGACTTTTTGAATGAGTTTCTTTACATCATCAGAGAGATGGGTTTTTGTTTGTGGCTTGCTTAGGCAGGGCTGAGGGAGAGGAAACTGGATGGGATGCTTGAGGAGAGTTGTACAGTCCCTGGATTGGAACTCAGTTACAGAAGGGCTACTCCTGGCTCTAGTGCTCATTAGTGATCTACTTTTTGGATAAGCCATCCATTTAAGCCTTGACATTCTCAATCAAAAATAAAAGTCTTGGTCCAAGAATGTTTTAGTGACTTATTTTCTTTTAGGGATCCATGAGGTATCATTATTAGTCGCTCCTCACACATTCCCATGAACTCTTTTTATGCAGTAAGTATGTCTTATATTGATGGGATTTTCCATACATCATCATATTCTATTTTAATCAGTTATATACAGTAAGATAGGTGTAGGTGGCAGAACAGATTAGATAGGATCTCCACCTTGTAGGAACAAAGCCAACGACTATCCCCTAGAACAGCATCACTAACTTTTTTCTAATGTTAACAATGGTTTTGGCAGCATTGAAATTTAGGGCACTTTTTGTTCTTGGTAAGTACTGTAACTGTAGAATCAGGAATGCACTCAGGTGAGCCCAGCTGGAGAAGGAGAACTTCAGCTAGCTCACTCTCACTGTAATCAGGAAAGTATCTCCAAGGCATTTCTTAAGATTTGTTTGCTTGCTTTGCTTCAACTCCCAGGACTTTGTCTCTTATTTCAAGAGTAGTTTGAGGTTGTTTCCTCATGGTTCTTGTTTCCCATAACCACGGCTTTCATACGGTATGGCTTTGTGGCACTGGCTTTGGCCACCTGATTTCAACACGTCAGATCCATCAGTCACCAAGGAGGAGTGGCTGAATGGCTGTGTCTTATCATTCCCATGGTTCAATCGGCTGGGGCTGGTAAGGCGGGACACAAAGAAGTTGTGTGCCACCACATCAAGTTCTTCCTTGTTATGGAGTAAATGTTTGGGTCCTCCTGCATCCCTCTTCAAGTCCCCCAGTCCTATGCTGCAGCCCTACATCCCAGGGGGTAGAAAGTGGGATCTTTGAGGAGAAATTTGTTTGAGATGAAGCCATGAAGGCGAAGCTCCTAGGAAGAGATGAATAATCTTACAAGGTGAAGGACCAGATTTCTCTGTCTCTCCCATTAAGAATAAAGTGAAAAGTCAGCCATATAAAATATAAAGCCATGAAGAGAACCCTCACCAGAATTCAATGATACCAGCACTTAATCTTAGACTCCTCAGTCTACAGAACTGTGAGAGTAAATGTATACTGTTCCAGCCACCCAGAAGCCTGAGTCATCTCTCAGCATTCACAGAAGTTTCTAGACAGAACAAACTCTAAAATGTATTTAGTGTTTTTTTTTAGATTTTATTTTTATTGGAAAGGAGGATCAGATTTACAGATAAAGGGATAGAGAAAGATCTTTCATCCTCTGGTTCATTCACCAAAGTGCCTCAACAGCCAGAGCTGAGCCCATCAAAGTCAGGAGCCAGGAGCTTCTTCTGGATCTGCCGCACAGGTGTGCAGGGTTTCAAGGCTTTGGGTCACCTTGTACTGACTTTCTAAGCCATAGGCAGGGAATTGGATGGAAAGTAGAACAGTCAGGACACAAATCAATGTCCATATAGGATATGGCTTTGGTAAGGTGAGGATTTAGCCAGGTTTTTTTTTTTTTTTTTCTGATCAAAATTTCACAGGGTCTTCTGAAATCTATCTAATGTGCCTTTAGTCTCTGTATGTATAATTAGAATGTATCTATTGTCTGACAGTTCAGAGTAAAAAAAAAAAGCTTACATTTATTCCTTAATTTAAGATAGAGTGGTTACATGGTTTTCTAAGTGTAGTGTCAAAAAGTAAAACAAACAAACAAACAAACAAACAAAACAAATGGATAAAGATACTAGACTGCTCACTGGAAGTCCTTGGAGCCCAAACTGAATCCCACTACTTACTTCTGGAAAGAATCTTACATTGCCTTTGAAATTGTGGGGCAGGGAGAATCTTAAAAACCTAAGAGATAAAAAGGACTTCAGGGGGATTATCTAATCTCAGCTCTGCATTTTATAGCAAAAGCCACTGACACGGAGCCTTGGGCCACAGAGCTGATTAGAGGGCGAGCCCAGGGAACATTGGTCCCAAGCCCGAATCACATCATTCTAGAAGGGCCTGCAGAGAGGTTTAACACTGGGAACCAGTTATTGCTTGTGATAAAGCAGCAGAAAGTGGTGCCTAAATGTAAAATATTATTTTAAGACAAGTACATGGAGTCTTCACAAATGTGTGGACAGGAAAACAATCTTTAAATGCTCTAATTCTTTTTCTGTAAAAACTCACATTTAAAGAAAAGATCCTGAAAATTGATCTGAACTGTCATCGCCACACATTTTTGACAGGATTGGAGATTAAGATGTTCCAACCAACAGATGGTGAAGGGACACGCAAGTTAGTGGACTCTGATGAGAGATTCCCTCCAGAAAGATGCTTGCAACTTAACCAAGTTTGCTGTACTTTGTAAACTTCCGCCTAACGTCAAGCTACCCCGTTATTTGCTTCTGCTTCCTGGAAATAGGGAGTAACACACAGCACAGGGTCATTCCCAGGTTTCAGTGGCCAGTGTTTGTGAAATTCCTAACACGATGTTAGGCACACTGGAAATACACTCTCTGGGCTTTTCTTTCCTTGGAGGATTAAACACTATTCTACGGAAATGGGAAACACTTCTATTCAAAGTCCCACTGGCTAGATTAAAGCAAACAGTTCAGCCAAAGATTAGAGGTGGAACGGAACTAAAAAAAAAAAATCATCTTTAAAGATGGAATTATTTGAATAGCAGAATTCCAGAGGCAGGGAGACACACAGCTTCCATCCACTGGTTCACTCCACAAATGGCTGCAAAGGCTGGTTCTGGGGCAGGTGGGAACCCAGGGCCTGGCCCTCCGTGCAGGCCTCCCACGTGAGCATTAGGGACTTGAATTGTAGCAAATGGGGCCAAAGTTATCTCTCTTCCTATATTATTTTTTTAAGAGTTGTTTATTTACAGAAAGACAGACCTGGACTGGACCAAAAGGTCTCCCAGTCGACTTGCACTCCTCTAATGGCCGCAGGGGAAGGAGAACATTTGGCCCAGGCCATCGGCAGCCCCGCCATCCGGGCTTCTGGAACCATCTTCCGCCGCATTCGCGGGCGCCTCAGCGGGCAGCCGGATGGGAAGCCGCGCAGCCTGGGCCACCCACTCGGCTGGAGTGTGCCAAAGCCATGGACGAGGGTCCTCACGGGGCCTCTTCCAGGCCTGACCGCGCTCTCCGGCTCCCAGGGGGCTAGGAACCCGGGCTGGCGGCGCTGGACGGACCCCGCATCCGCTTCCAGCCGGGAGGCCCGGCGGATACAGCCGCGTTCGGCTGGGCCGTGAGGGAGGCCGCCGCCGCCTCTCCGACGAGCCCTGGACGTCCTCAGGTACTACGCTGTGACGTCCGAGCGCAAGGCCGGCCGACGAGCGGCACGGCGACGAGGCGCGCAGCAGGGCCGGGCCTGCCGTCGAGGGCTCCCGCGGCCCCACGCGCCACGGACCCGGCCGCCCGCCCGCCGGCGCTCCCGGAGGAGGCGGGGCCGGCGCGCCGCCATCTTGGCGGCCTCTCTAGGCGAGCTGTTTACCACTCTATGGTCCCGCTCCCGCCCCGCCCCTCCCCAGTCATTGTCTGGAGGAGCAGCCGCGGCCGCAGCGCCTTCTCTTTATAAGCCCGCAGTGCCCGGATGTGAATGGATTACAATGTATCTTTCAGGGAAACCTATTATTATCAATGTGACTCCACGGGGGAGTCAATGGTGATGAGGAGGAGGAGGAGGAGGATGAGGAGACACCTCTAAACTTGGAGCAAGTTTAAGACTTTGTAAGAGGAGAAGAAAAAACACCCACCAACAAGATTTGTTTGAGGAACAATTATAACTATCCAGTGTTGATTTTTTTTTTTGGTAAACAATAAGAAAAAGTTGTTGGATTTTTTTTTAATGTTTTCTTTTTTGGGGGAGGGCATTTTGTTGCAGTTTTATGGTGGAAAATGCAAAACCCAGAACCCAGTGCATAATCTTGTAATCTGTGGATATCCCTGGAGCAGAACTGAGTACCACTTAAAGTACTTTTTGGGGGATACACATGTGAAATACTAAATACTTGCAGAAGATTTTTTTGTCTGTCTTTTAAAAGTTTTTTTTTTTTTCCCTTGGAATATTGTGAACTTATTTGTGGCCATTTAAGGTAACGTTGCAATTTGCTGTCAGAGTAAACTGTTTTGTAATTGAATTGAATTTTTAAAATGTCGATCCCAATGTTTTATGCAAACAAAAGAACAGCCTATTATGTCATCGCCAATGGGGAAAAAGTGTGCATGCAATTTGTGTATGTACTCGCACCTCTAGCAGTGGCAGGGTGTGTAGTGTGTGTTTCTCAACACACGTTGAAGGAACTCTGTTGCATAAACTGGATAAAGCACGCTTGTTACTACGAGACGATAGAAAGGTGAAGTTTCCTTTTTATCCGGAAAAGTGATATGAGAAAGTATGTTTTAAGAGCTTGCAGGGCCTGTAAGGTGAAATGTTGAATTAAAAACTTAGAGAGTGCGGGAGAATGGGGACTTGAGGTGGTTAGGAACTAAAGTGTGAAAACAAAACAACATCCAACCTCCCCATTTTTTTTTTTTTTTTTTTGCGAAGTTTGCAGCTATACTATTTTGTACCTCAAAAGGGAGGGGGAAGAAAGTAGGCAATCCAGGAATCGCCCTCAGCGCAAAACTACGGAGAGGAAGCTCTCTCCCGGGAAAACGTGGCTCGGTTTCTATATGGAAAAGAAAAATCTTGCTCTTCTTGGCAAAGTCTTTTTGCATCACGTGTATCGCAGCCTAGTATAAACTTGCTTTGCCGTGTGTGGCCGTGTGAGTGAGAGGGGAGAAAGAGGTGGGGAGGGGGGTGGCCGTAAACTCGAATCCATTTCAAAGTGGCTCCGGTGGCTGGTGGAACGGGCAGGAGCCGAGCTGGGCAGGCTTGACTGTAACTGAAAAAATGAGGTGCTCCGTGAATCTTCGTGGGTGTGTTTTCGCGAGACGGGGGAGGTGTTGAGGGTCCTCCCCCCCCCACCCGGAGGGAGGGGGCGTGTGGGGGGCTGCAACCCCGACCCCCCAAGCGAGCCGCGTCTCGCCGCCGGAGCCCCCCCACCCATTTCTTTGCTGAACTTGCAATTCCGTGCGCCTCGGCGTGTTTCCCCCCTCCCCCCTCGCGCTCGTCCCCTCCCCTCCCCGGAGAAGAGAGTTGGTGTTAAGAGTCAGGGATCTTGGCTGTGTGCGCGCGGCTCGGTAGTGGCGGCGGCGGGGAAGGCGCGGGAGCCGGCGAGCAGGCGGAGGGAGCGGCCGAGCGGGCTCCGACATGAACGCCGCGGCGGCGCGGGCGGTGCACCGGGAGCCCCTCGTCGCGCGCGGCCGGTAGGTACGGGCGCCGGCGGGGCCGGGCGGGCGGATGCCCGGGCGGCGCGGGGACTCGGGCGCGGGCTCGGCGGGCCCCCACGCGGCTCTCCCCGGCGCGCCCGGCGGAGACTCCCCTTCCCCGCCCCCGTCGCCGGCGGTGCCCGCTCGCCGGGACCGAGGACTTCGCCAAGGGCCTCGCTCTAATTTTTTTTTTTTTTTACAAGCCTTTCTTTCACAAATTAGTGTGTGCTGGACCCTACGTTCCGCGCTCCCCACCCGGCGGCCCCCGCCACCCCTCCCCCTTGGACGCGGGTTTTTTTTCCCCCCCTCCGGAGACGCTCATCTTGAATTTCTTCAGAGCTACTTTGTAATGCGGAGGGGAGCGGAGCGAGTGGTGCGAGTGCCGAGTGCGAGTGCGAGGGGGTGGGGTGTGGGGTGGGGGAAAGTTGAGCCCGGACTGTTCCGTAGTTTCTCTTTTCTCTGGGATCCATTCATTCCTCCCTCTACCTCCTGTTGCATAAAATGATGCGCTCAAGAGCGGCTTTTTTCCCCCCTCTCCCGGATTGGGTTTTGTAGTGAATGTTACCAGTTTGATCGTCTCTTTGGAAATACAATATCGCTTTTTTTTTTCTCACCCCCCCCTTTTTTTTTTTTTGCTATCTGCTGCCTGTTCCATCTTAAAACAAAAACAAAACAAAACCGAGCAACAACTCTCCCACCCTCCCCCCTCCCACCTTAATCCCACCGCCTCTTCATCCCCCAGCCTCCCACCTCTCCCAGCCCCCTCCCTCCCCCCCCCCCCAGTCTCCAAAAATCCGATTGTGTTTTCTGCAAGGATTGGGGCTGGATTTTCTGATTACGGTTATTTCCATGTTTCCAGGTTTGTGTGATTTTGCTAAAATGCATCACCAACAGCGAATGGCTGCCTTAGGGACGGACAAAGAGCTGAGTGATTTACTGGATTTCAGTGCGGTAAGAAAGATCGGTGGACACTAAAAGCAAAACACCCAAACACTTCAGCTAGAAGCTGGTAGTCAGCTAGAGGACAGTGTGATTGTTAATGGACTGAATCCTTGCTAATGATGAAGGTCTCTGTATAAGTTTTTAACCAAAATTTTTTTGGGTGTGATTGGAAATTCAGGCTTTTTTTTTCCCCCTCCCTGGAGTCTGGTTACTTACCTTGAATTCCCAGCCCACTGGTGTCCCCCCAAAATCATGGAATCTCGCCCCAGTGGAAAGGACAAACAGACATGCCTGAAACTTGGCCGTTTCTGAACTCCAACCTACCAGGACTTTGATGCACGATTACTTGTTTTATTGATTTATTTACTTTTTTTTTTTCCCCTGTGAGTGGAAGGCAGTAGCCTCAGTTGTCTGGTAAAGTTTTGGCTGCGTTGGATGAGCAGGGGCCTGGATGTAGTCCTGCCCTCGACCTGCTTTCCCTGGGATTGTGAGACCTCCATGGGGTGTGCCGAGCCCACCTGCCTCCGAAGCCTCTGGACGGCTGCACACTTGTGGAGTTTCCCGGCTCCACTTGGGTGCTTCTGCATCCCTTCCCCTCCCTTTTCCCTAGCCAAGTCTCAGACCTGTCAGGGGAATGAATTCATTTTTCGTGCCAGATGAGTTTGGTGGAAGATGCATTTGTAAAGCAAAATACAAAGAATCCATAAAACACATCAATAAAATCCACACCGCCTTCTGAGTGGGGCTACTTCATGCTGCCGCCGCTGCCGCTGCTGCCGCTCCCGCCCCTCCTGTGGACCTTCTGGAGAAATGGCTTTCGGAAGTTTTGCCAGGAAATGTAGCCCCGGGCAGCTTTGCAGCCCCCTTTCTGCTTGCTGCACTCTCTCTCTTCGTTTCTTTGCTTTTTGCAGTGTCTGACACGGGGAAGGTGTGCATTATCCACCAGATACGTCGAAGAAGAGGGACACTAATTAGGGTTGAAATAATTGCTGGAGAGAGGGAGTGAAAGAGAGAGAGTGAGAGACTGAGAGAGAGAGAGTGTCTTGCCTCCAATTGCTCTCTTGTTAGAGATGAAATGAGAACTTAGTGCAGGTGGCACTTTTATTTTTATTTGGGTACACATATGACAGGCAAATCCCATCGGGGCTGGAAGTGGACATTGTCATGTTCAAGGCCAAGGTTTTCCGTACAAAACAACTTTTTTTTTTTCTTTGTGAAACTTGTGTTTTCTACTACGACCGTATCCCCCACCCCCAGCCTGAGTCTTCCTGGCAGTATGGGGAACTGTGTTTGTTCAGAATGTACCAGTGCTGCTTGGCGATCTAATGACCTGAGGAAAAAGAACAGAGTGGTGATGGGGAGGGGACTGCAGTGTTGTGCCTGTCATAGTTTTCAGTTGGATGGTGATGTATTTTACTAAATGAACCCTTAGCGTAAACTCAAAGCTGTTTGGTAAGAGTGTCAAAGGGCTTTGGGGAGCTCTGAAGGCACCAATGTCTTCTTTGCAACTGTCATATTTCTTTGTTTTTTGTAGATGTTTTCACCTCCTGTAAGCAGTGGCAAAAATGGACCAACTTCTTTGGCGAGTGGACATTTTACTGGCTCAAGTATGTAAATTCTCTTCTTCCTGTGAAGTTAAATGTTGTTAACTGTTCCTTTACACATTGTGTGGTTTTTGGCTCTGTGGAGGTGTTTTCAAAAAAGTCATTGGATTTTAGCCTATAAATGAAACAGTAATTTCATCATCCATCAGTCGTATTAACTAACACTACATTTTATCTCGTGATTAAAATTAGGCCTTTAAAAAAATCAGGGAAACTGTTTCAAAATTCCATCACTTAATTTAAAAGCAATTTTCTGAAACAGTTGCGATCACAGATGTGAAACTAAGGCCAGTGTTAATATAGGGAATTGAATTAGTGATCTCCATTTGAAAATGAAGGAAAAAAAGATTCAACTTTCATAAAAAGGAGAAAAAAAAATCTCATGTAAATCCTATCACTTATGTGGTCCTGTGTACAATGAACCCTTTTTAAAGAAGTGAGTGCTTAATGTTTCGAATGAATGCTGTGTGGAAAACCGTGTGTAAATAGCCTCATGCTCATCTGAGAAGCAAATGATGAATTCCTTTAGATTTAAAGTATGCTTTTTACTGCTTTAGTGGTTTCCTTTCCTTAATCATTTATGTGTGCGATGCGTTTTTGTGATATTTTTAAGTTGTAAGTTTGGAAGGATTCTTAGCACTTTATAAATGAAAGATTTTTGGGTGATGCTTAAAAAAGACGTTAGCGCTATTCACAAAGGAAATGTGTACGCAGTGATTAGCTGGCGTTTAAGGAGGAGTTTCAGTACAGGGCTCTTTGGATGTCTCTTATTAAAAGCAAAGACTTGAAAGTATGATATTTATTTACATGATTTTTTTCTCTTTTTTGTCCAATGAATTTTAAAGGGAATCCTGCATTGTTGCCTGCTAAGCGTTAGGTGCTGCAAGGCGTACATCCATTTCTGCTTGTTGAACAGCTGCAGTAGCTTAGAAGTTCTGGCAGTGGCACTCAGCAGTGCGTTAGGCAGAGCACTTTTCTTAAGTCAGACTGGTCCATGTTGACATCCTTCAGTTGTGAGGTGCTACTGGATTGTCTGTCAACTATGAGCAGAATTTCATGTCTCTCAGCTTTCATTGGATACTGTGGTAATGAGAGAAATCTGTTGACCTATGTGATTTGTGTCATTGGTGTATTTGTATGGAATTAATGAGTTTTAAAAGTTGCTCGTTTCCAAATGAGTTATTTCTTTTAGCCCCAATGAGTCTAGGCAGTTTTTGTCTCGCCACTTGATTTTCAAAATAGGAGGTACTTGTTACAGGTAGAGTTTAGCTTGATTTTGGTCTACTTTGATTACAAGTAAAAATACGCATCAACTGTATGTCTCTGTACTGTCCTGGGCCCTGTCGTGCTCTCCTTTTAGGGACTGAATAACTGTTTGATTGTGTTAGTATTACATCTTTTATGTTTGTGTAGCATTTGCTCTGCAGCTTTGAAGTGAATGTGAGCATAAATGTCTCTTGTAGGCAAATTTTTCATGTTATACACAGTCGCAACAATAACTTACCTTATCTTTGACACTAATTGTCTTTATGATTTTACTTAAGAAATGGCACATTGAGTTAAGTCAGAAATGAATTATGTCAAGTAGGCACAAAAAGAGTGTTTTCCAGTCAATGTAAGAGACTCCCTGTACTTTTGTAAAAATGAATACATTTGGAACAACTTCAGTGTTTTAGCTTACATGTGGTTTGATAAAGTAAGGTGATTAGAGGTGCAGAATCCTGCTACATATGAGATGATTGTGTGTGTGTCTGATTCATTTTTAGCATTCACTTTCAAGTTAAAGTCCTTGCTTTAATGTTTAAGTGTTTATAGAGGGTACAGGTGGGGAGAACTGAAAATATATTCATGTAGTTTGGTAAATGATCATAAACCCAAACTCCCATGGTCCGGGGGATGTATGCACCTAAGTCCAGTGAGAGCTGCCACTCTTGGTGAGGCATGTCTCATTTCATGTCTCTAGTGAGGTGCAGTGGTTGTTTTCAAGGTGTTGGACTTCAGGTTACATTGTACCAGAGGTGGTTTTCAGAACCAAAGCATTCATCTATGAGTGAAAAAGTGCAGTGGGTCTTTGATTCTGGCTGCCTGATTGAAAATGCAGAGTATTCATTCAATCTGGTGTGATGGTGACTGTAATATAGAGGGTGGAGAGTGGACTGTTAAATTTTCCCCATCTGGGAAGACATATTTGAACCCAGGGCTATTAGTGGAGAAAATGGCTTATATTTCTATTCCATAAAACAGATCGGTCTATATTAAAGAACAACAGGTTTGAAAATACATAATGAAAAATTCACTTTGTCCTTGATAACTGGAAGGATGAACTAGGAAATTTGGGGTAGGCAAATCATAATCTAAAGTTACTTCTAGTTAATCCCCGTTGTCCTGAGTGGACACAGTCACTTCCATGGGTCTCTTTGAAGCCTGGATCCAGGGGGGAGAAAGATCTAAACTTAAAATAAACTGTTTCTGTTTGAGAAATCAGCCATATTTTTTTCAAAGTGAGGCATAGTAATACTTCATGTTTAAAGTTTGCAATCGCTTTTGATTGCCTTAATACAGGATGCTCTATCGTGATTTGCAATGTGAGGATGAAAATAAAGTGTGGCCATATTCTCTTTAATCTTTCATTTCACAAATGTGGTTTTTCCTACCACCTTAAAAAATGGGGAGGCTGCTGGCGAGAATGGAATGTAACCTGAGCCATAGCCCGACATTCCCAGGGAGCATTTTTCACATGAAAGGCTTTTGTCAACCCGGGAAAGGACCAGCAGTTTTTGTTTGATGTTTGCAGGTGTTCAGCAGAAAGCACTAAAACAATTCAGCCATGATGGTTCAGAGCTAAGATGACCTTAAAACAGTGGATTGGTGGGCTCAGAAATTATTTTTAAGACATAGTTGTAAGCTATATGGTAATTTATACAAAGGGATTTAATATCCGCTATCTCCTTGATCTTAAAGCACACTAAAAGCATCCACATGCCTAGATGATTGGAAAATTATTTTTATTAAAAACTATGCTGCTGGTGAGGGAAAGCTACTAAAGGGTCTGTGATTTATTGATGAGTAGGGGGCTTGATCTTCCACTGTAACTAAAACAGTTTAAATGATTATCCTTGACTGTTTGGGGGGAGAAAAGCTAAGCACTCTAGCTTTGCCATCTTTGAAAAAAGTAGTTTTCAAAGTTGGGCCCCTGGAATCGTGGACCTCAGAACTTGTTAGGTCAGCTCTGAGCACATCTGGAACATGTATTTACAGCTTGTCTGTGATGGATGCTGCGTCTTTCTCCCTTAGTTTAAAAGTTGACCCCTCCCAACCCTGGTTAACTGTCTAGTTTTACTAAGGTGTTCAGCACTTGTTAAAGGTTGCCAGATGAACGGCTGTTTGAACAATTAAGATCAGTGGTAAAATATAACACATCTCTGTTGTGGGTCCTTTTGAAAGAGGGAATGCATTTGAGGTTCTTATTAGGTAACTTGCACTCATGTGACCCCCCCCAAACGAAGCGTTACATTTAGTAAAATCATTAAGGAAAAAAGATCAATTCATTGGATAATTTTGTATGATGGGAAATTCACATAGTTAACATCCTAAATTCATTTCTCTATATCAGTGTGAGTTCATGGTGATGACATGAAAAAGAAAAATTGCCTTTCCCTTAAATTTGTCTGTTGAGGAAAGCTACTTGCTATTGTGTATGTGATTAAAACTGTCTTATTATTTGCTTTTTGTAGAGTACAGAGCAGTTTAATAAGTTACAAATAAGTACAGTGGCATTAAGTCCATTATATTAGAATCAAAAATCAAAATTTTGGGGGGATAAAACCTTTTAGAAGTAGACTGTCCAGTGCTGCCTTTGTGCGGCCATGGAGAACTGAAGCCCAAATCTAGGGATTTCTCAACTGGGTTTTTGTTATTCTGAAAAACAAGTTTTGATTTGGTAACTCTTCATGGTCCTGCAGATCCTTTACTGGAAAGCACATCTATTTCCATAATGTTTTGTGTCATTTGTCCTGCGTTCTGGGGGATCACAGTTTGTGTGCTGTCATTTGGGCAGGTTAATGCTTAATTTGCATGTGCCCTCTGAACACTTTATTTTTGGGGTTTGAAGCCGAATTTTGGAATATTGATCTGCTTTGCCTAGAATAATAGAGTGTTAATGAGCCTGGCAGACAGAGGGAAAGTGCTTCTCAATGTGCCAGGTGGTGGTGTGCTCTGTACCTTTTGTTGTGTTTTTTTTTTTTTTTAATCCTCAAAGAAGCCAGTGAGATGCAGTGAGTGTCCTGCCCAATTCATAGACAGGAAACAGAGACAGGAATGTCTAACACTTGCTTCCCAAGCAGCCAGAAAGCTAGGTTTTGAACTTGGGCTCTGCTGCCTCTACTTCCTTCTCCTGTCATCAGTACTTGTATACACACACAGGCATACACTCAAAAACACACAAAGTTTGGTGTAGCTCATTTGTTTCAAGTTTTGCTGTGGAATGTAACATTGAAGCTTGGCGTGAAATAGTGTCCATAACCTTTACTGTAGGCAGCATTTTTTAGAGAATTTAAGATAGTAATACAAAGCATGCTCATTTTCTTGCCTTTTTGTCCAAATATGCTGGCCATCTAACTTAAGGTAGACTTCTCTGTGACTAAGCACGGCTCTTTCATTTAATTTTTTACAAAGAAAATATAGTGAATATTTTTACAAGTTGTTCCACTTTTGTTCTGTTGTAGATTCACAGTCTATATGGGCACCAGTAAAATGTTTCAGTTAGTTTTACATATTTAAAGCAGACTTTGAGGTCACGAAGCCAGATTCATTAATATGTAAAATAGGGAACCTCCCATCTCTAACTGAAAAGTTTAGCAGTTTGTTGTTAGAGCTTTGAAGATATTTAAAAATAATTCCTAAATTCTATCTGTATCACTCAAGTAAGCACTTTTGAAGTTTAGATATGTCTCTTAGCAGACATGTGCTTAAAATGTTGGTTTTCTAAATTCAGAAGGAAGAGA